GAGAGAGAGAGAGAGAGAGAGAGAGAGAGAGAGAGAGAGAGAGAGAGAGAGAGAGAGAGAGAAAGGTTTGGACGGTAAACTTGACCCGCTGAGTCATCAACAGGAAGTCGTACTTTGACTTGCGTTGATGGCCACGGTCAATGTCAACCGTTTTATAGTGGTGGATAACGCTTGACTTGGCTGTGGACTTGGGAAAAAGCCTGTATTGGGCCACGTGCTGGTGCAGGTCAGGTGGAGGCCCACATGCAGGGCCAAATGCAGGGGCACGTGCAGGCTCAGATGCAGCCCTGGGTGCAGGCCCAGGTCTTGGCCCGCAGGTGGAGGCCCACGCTCAGGCCCGCAGATGCAGGCCTGCAGGTGCATGTCCACGTGCAGGTGCACCCGTGACAGCGGGCCTGCACCTAGCCCCAGGTGGAGCCCCAGGTGCAGGCCCAGGCCCAGGCCCACGTGCAGGTACTGATGCACGCCCATGTGCAGGCGCCACTGTAAGCCTCGGCCCAGGTCCAAGCACTGGCCCATGTACAGATGCAGGGCCATGTATAGGTGCAGGCCCTTTGTGCAGGCACCCATGCTATCCCGAATAGGTCCTGGGCCTAGGTGCAGGCCCGCTGTGGAGGGGCAAGCCATCCCGACTCCCCCGGCCTTCGCTTAGCCCAGCTGCAGGTCCAGGTGCAGATGCAGATGCAGGCCGAGATGCAAGCGCAGGTGCAGGCCCAAATGCAATCCCAGGAACACGCAGACTTCTATTTTTTTCCACATGCAGACCCACTTCCAGGCCCGCATGCAGGTCCACGTCCACGTACAGGTGCAGGCCCAGGTGCAGCCCAAGGTGCACGCCCACTCCAAGGCACACGCCGATGGACACCCAAGTGTTGTTTGCCGGAGGATCAAGCCGTCCCGACTCCCCCGGCTTTCGCTTGGCGCAGCTGCAGTTCCATGTGCAGGTGCAGATGCAGGCCGAGATGCAAGGCCAGGTGCACGCGCAGGTGCAGGTGGAGGTGCAGCCGCAGGTCCCGGTGCAGGGCCAGGTGCAGGTCCAAACTGAGGTGCAGTCCCGGGTGCAGGTGCAGGTGCGGATGCAGGGGCACGCATAGGCCTAGATGCAGGGTCAGGTGCAGCTACAGGTACAGGCCCACGCCAAAGCACACATCGATCGGATACCCAAGTGTTGGTTGTCGGAGCAAATTATTGAGGGAATTATTGATGGGACACCCAACTACCCACCTCCCACCGAACCAAGCACCTAAGCCAACCACCCAATCAGGCACCCAGCGAAACGTCCAACCACTCAACCCCCCCAATCTTCAACGTTTTTTTTTTTCTTTTGGGTCTAGGTCGAGGCACAGACCTTGATCAATTTGATTTTTCTTTTTCTCGTCCCAGGCACAGACGATGACTTTTTTTTTTTTTTTGGATCTGGCCCAAGGTACAGACCGTGGCCCGAGTACGTGCCCATATTGAGCCCGTGTACAGTCCTTCACAACGTGGCGATATTAGGCCCGTGTGCAGGCATTGACACCGTGCCGATATTGGGCCCGTGCGGGCCCGTGTACAGGCATTGACACTGTGTCGATATTGGGCGCGGTCTCAACTACCCAACTAGCCAACCACCCAACTACCCAACTACCCAACCCAACTCAAACCACC